ATGTCAACGACAGATTTCTGCTCGTTAACTAATTAACACTTCATCGCAGATTGAGCACTTCATTTATATATAATTCCTGATGATGGTTATTTTATGACCGAAACGTTTGGTGTGCACGATGACGTCATCGTGCAAGTGCAGTGGTGTGATCTTGCACATGCACGATGACGTCACAGTACATCCATGCATACACTGCCTGTCAATCCAAAGTGATCGTCTTCGTTATCTGTTTTCCATCTCATCTAGAAGCAGCCTCTCGGCGGCAAATAACTTATCTCGAGCGGCCCGTGGCCCCAGTGCTAGGTAGGCGAGGGTCTTGTGCGGGGCCAAGTTGCGTGCCCTGTGCTCTCTACACTGGTCGTAACGTTTCTCCGCGGCACGCGCCTCCACTGGATTCGGTACCGCGTTCAGCGCACATCTCATTGGGCGATAAAGGCGGATGAGAGTTCGATCAGGCAAGCGCATGCTCCTGAAACTCCCGGAGCGTGCAAACTGTCGATAGATGGCTAAAGTGGACAGAGGCAATGACTGGCGTGTCTCCGAGTCCAGACTCAGATTGCCGAGGGCGGACGTTAGGTCCGATGCAAACATACAGAACACGTCATAGTCTTGCTCCGCCCAGAAACCGACCGACGGCGAAAGACGGAAGCGCTTCTCTAACTTGACCTTTACGGCCGATGCTCCATGTGCAAGTCGAACGTTGTACAAACGGAATGACACGGGCCAGTACACACGACGACCACGCTCCGGAAGATTACGGCACCGCTTAACACTCTCCTTGTTGAAGCGCATATCTACGTTGATGAGCGACATCACAGCATTGTCTCCTGCACCGTACAAATCCATGGCCGCACTCAGCGCCAATTCGGTGTCAAACTTGTCGGCAAGCCACTTAAAGGTGACACGATCAAAGTCTATAGCACGGCAGCGTTCCTTCACCGCCACCTCCAGTTTGTTAGCAAGTGACGAGTCCGGTGTCATAGCGACAATGGTTAAATGAACGTCGACGCTTTGCACGTACTTTGCTCCAGTCTTAACGCCGAGAACGTTGACGATGAAAGAGTGGAGGAACTCAATGAGGTGCTTTTTACGGCCTGTGACTAGAAGAACAAAGTGAAGTGGTCGCCGCAATGACTCCAGTTTATGCAGTGAACTCGTAACTAGTACGCGTTGATTTGACGTCCGCACATGCCCATCATTAAAACGTGAACTATTAACGTGTGGATGTGCCGTCAGAGCACGCTGATAATCATTAAGTTTTCCGAGCGTCGATGGCGACGATGACATGCCAAGGTCAGAAGCGGCGAGCCTGCCTAGCGCTCGCATGATCCGCACTCGTCTTACGGCCGTCTTGGACTTGTTGCTGGTGAAAAACAGCTCGTAGGCTATTCCGTATCTTCGCATCAAGAACCTGAAGCCTTCCGTAAACCCGTCCGCAGTGTATGATGAGGGTAGACTGTCAACGGCCGTTCTCAGCACCAGCTGGACCTCCCGAAGACGCCAACCAGTCAGTAAGCCACCGGTCTCCCGGCCTTGCGTGTGATGGTAGTGCGTTCGGTTGAACACGCTCCAGGGCACGACGTCGTGCTCGCTCTCCCGAGCCATAGAAAAAACTCGCTTGTGCACCGCTTTCACGTCGGCGCCGGAAAGTGGCCGGCTGACTGTGACACGGGTGGGAGGCTCGTCTCTGCGAAGCGGGGCCTGTTCCCCGCGCACAATTTCTTCCAGCTTGGAAACTTCCTGCCGTTTCTCCTCAAGCAGGCTGTGTAAGTTCTCAATGTCACAGGCGAGTTGATCTAGGCTATTATCCAGTCCATCACCGCCCGTTTCAGTGCCAGCAGACAGAGCCTCGTCGAGTCGCCAAGCCGTGTGGTAGCAGCGAGCGACCACCATCCATATCATGATCAGCAACAGGTTGACGTGCACCAGCAGCTTAACGGTGCGAACGGCCGAGAACCTCATGCTTTTTGTCGCGCAGTCGCCATCACCACCACACCGCCCGACTTTACTTGCAAAAAGCATACACGTGTCCGCTGATGATGCTGTTCGGAGCAACAAAACGTCTGGGGAAGTACTGCAAAACTCTCTAACTTGGCTTCAGAGTAACAAAACGTTTCGGAACGCTTTTTTAAACTCTCTAACTCGGTTACTTTGTACCACTACTGGTTGAAACAAACATCTACTCCATGGCACAATGAGAGTGGCAAACCTAGAGCATGTCCATCAACGTTAAAATAAGAATGCACAGACAAGCACATCCTGAACTTATAGACAAGTTCATTCATTCATTCACTCAGACCCTATTCGAGTGAGTTTTCAAGTAAGTCTGTCATCCCAGATCTGATCTCATGTTACTCTGACCGGTAGGTTATATCATATAGAGCAACAGAACAGCACAGAAGCCACTCTTGCTATAGCTACCAAGGACATATAGCCTAGTCCTGAACCTACTCTAGTGTTCCCCCATTCAGTCATTGGGAGGTGCCATGATTGATGTGCTCTTGCCGAACTGAAACTGTACTCCACCCTGTACTCACCCAGTGTATGACTTCAATGCCAGCTATCAATGCACTGCACACTGCACTGGACAGTATACTGGACAGTATGCTGCACAATGTACTCCACAAATTATGTACTGCACAATGTACTCGACAATGTACTGCACAATGTACTACATGAGCTGCTGCACAGGAAGCTCTCAATCACAGGTGCTGACGTAGTGTACTTCTTTCTCTGGCCCTGAGGCCTGTGTGTGAAGGAGTCTGGGCATTTGACTAGTATTGCCACTGATAACACAGTTAGTCAGTTACAACAGGAAACTCTTCCAGGGAAACTCATGGCAGAGAGTAGACATCCTGCCTGGCTAGCTGACATGTCCACTTGTACTTCTGACCAACATATCCAAGCAAGGGGTAGGAATCTGTAGGATCCTGTCAAACACACTGGACACTGGACACTGGTCAGTGCATGCCCAGCTAGCTGCCTGTCTGAGCCTGTCTCTGTGTCAGCAGTCTGACCAGATACTGAGATAGTGACAAAATTAATTACTTTCTGTTCAAGCACTGAAGCACCCCCCACTGAGCATGCCCAATCATCATTCAATGGCAGCACTTAGCAAGCAGTGGCAGCAGTCTGAGCACAGCAGCAAGCATGTGTCAGTCACTGGAGCTTGCAGCTGCAGATCACGACTGTCACAAACACAACTGTCAGAGACAGCACAGCCACAAGCCACAAGTCATGTACATGTACAATACTACACTACTGGCTGGACTGTCACTGTACACACATGCCTGATGCATGCACAGTCACTAGTCATGATCAGATCACTTCTGCAGCTAGCTCTCACTAGCTCTCACTCTCAGCTCAGCCAGACACACTCAGTCTAGTGGTTAGGGCTGTCAGGAGCCAGCTATCCAAACTGACCACAGTCATCATAATCACAGTACAATCATGTACATGTGCTGGCACTTGGGAGATTGGCAAACACAGGGAGAGTTTCATGTCATGATTTGACCTGTCTATGGAAGCTGCATTGAGGCTGTAGGACTTCCCAACAGACATCATTCTACCACCACACTGAAACTAACTTGAGTACAAAATTCCTGCTGGATATAACAAACTGTTCTCTTTGCATGAGATAATTAGAAAGTACTATTTTAGGGCCCTGGGTGTCCTTTTCCACATGTATACATGTACATGTGTGCAGCACCTTGGCTGAAAGTACTGATTCCTATGTCCCCTGGATGTGCATGATTGTACACGTAAGCTCTCAGTGTGTTCCACTCTGCCTTTAGAACCCTGGTAGTACTTCAACCTGTTGCCAGAATGATGTGCTGTTGTGGTGCTACTGCTGGGCAAAGAATCCCAGCAACCCCTGTCACATTACAGAACCCCCACTTGTACGGCAGCTTAGCCTAATGCCAGTATCTTCGGGTGATGAACAGGAGAGTGTCATTAGATTGTGGCCCTAGGATACTCAACAGCGATACACGCCATAGTTGGATCTGTTAGGTCTCCACTCCTCCTACATTGTATCCAAGCACATCTTTTGCCGTGGCATGCCCAGGTCACGCCATTTCGTCACACGTAATTATTACGTAAACGTCAAGTGCCAGGTAAAAAATGACAGGACAGCACATTCCTTTACTAATGCCAGTATAATTGTGTGTGCGTGGAGCTAGGCTGTGCACACGATTCCTTTCTGCTTTCTTCTGGTCTACATGTAGAACCTAGCTTCTGATAAAACCCATCATGCATTGCATCTGATATGACTCGAGCAGGATGATCTGGTTGTGATCAGCTGTAAAGTGCAGGGGGGGGGGCAAGTACTTGCACAGATGGGCAGGAGTACCCCCCCCCCCCCCCCCTCAACACACACACACACACATACTAGTACACCCAAGCCAGACTGTGTGTGTACATGTAGAATGCCCGCAGGGCTTGGTGCTGAAACAGTTGACAATGCAGTGGGCACATGTGTTCATGACTGCAGGCCCTGCGGCTACACATGTGTGCAAACGCTGACAGTAGTGCACACTGCAGAAAGTATTCCAACACACAGGTCTACCCATCCAAGACAAGTGGTTCCAAGACAATCAGTTCGTGATGGGCATGGAGTTGCTGGACGTCCCTTGCCAACACCAAGACCAGCACGGGTTATGGCACACGCCCAAGTACACGTGTCAGAAATTGTCTGCCACGATACTAGACTGACACTGGGAGTTGAAGCAGGGAAAGTAGGTAGCACTACTGTTCAAATGCCACACGTCAAAACTACAGAGTATCTTGTACAGGTCAAAATGACTACACCCCATTGCAGTCATTACGACTTTGGTTGTACAGTGCCTCCACAATACAGCACGGAGTTTTACGACCCTTTGAGTTTAAGGCAATACTGCTGTTTTACTGTACTGGAGAGGCAGAAAATTTCGTCGGTCAATAATTTCGTCCAACTCCAAAGAAAAGGCGTTCGTCCGGTTGAAAACTTCGTCCATAGATCATAAGAGTGTACAGAAAAGCTGGACAAATCGATATTCGTCCTACATTTAATTTAGTCCAAAAGCTCCTTGGACGAAAAAGACGAAGTTAAATTCCAGACGAATATTTCTGCTTATACAGTATGACATAAACATGCACCTCAGTGACAACAGCTAGCCTGAGGGTTCAGCACCGAAACCTGCAATTTATGCACTAGATGTACCTTTTTTGAAGACTCTTTTCAAGAACTTTGAAATTCCAGTGTAACCTTGCACTTGTTCTGCAGTCAGCACACAACCTTGCTTTGTCCTTGGCCACAGCATTTCAACTAGATCTCTTCCAGGTATTAACGCATCAGGGCATTGCTTTGTCCTTGGCCACAGCATTTCAACTAGGTCTCTTCCAGGTATTAATGCATCAGGGCATCATCAGATATCCCTGATGATGCCCTGATGTGTTAATATCTGGAAGAGATCTAGTTGAAGTGGTGCAAGGACGGAAGAAGGTTGTGCGGGGATTGCTTTGAAAAGATTAATTACTGCTATCTGTCTTGGTCCGAAGCTTACTGCCTTCCTCTCAGATATACAGTGCTGCTCGGCGAAATCCAATCAAGCGAGTCAGATTTGCGCCCTGCTCTCGGCAGAACACAGCCCAGTGTTTGCAGGCCAAGGGTTGCACAGCGACCGGCGTGCCACCGACTCGCGTGATCTGATCTCATCGAGCAGCCTTGTAACTCTGTGTGGCCAGGCAAAGCTAGCAGTGCATTCAAAGCCTGTTGGCAGAATTCATTTACGATTACAGTGCAACACTGCTACGAAGTACGCCCATGGGGAACAGGAAAGTCTATTTTAAAATATCCGACGTACTTCTTATAGCAACACACTTCAGTATGTGTCAATACACACGTGCTCCGGACAACGTCCGTACTCAGCAGGAGTATGCCTTACCAGAGAAAACTCGGAGTTCCTCTCAAGTGTGTGTCTTACCAGCGTATGTACTAAGGGTGTGTGTATTATCAGAGTATGAACTAAGCAAGGGTTTGTCTTACCAGCGTACGTACTAAGGGGGTGTGTGTATTATCAGAGTATGAACTAAGCAAGGGTTTGTCCGATCAGAGTACGTACTAAGGGGGTGTATGTATTATCAGAGTATGTACTAAGCAAGGGTATGTATCATCAGAGTACGTACTAAGGGGGTGTATGTATTATCAGAGTATGAACTAACCAAGGGTTTGTCTGACCAGAGTACGTGCTAAGGGGGTGTATGTATCATCAGAGTACGTACTAAGGGGGTGTAAGTATTATCAGAGTATGAACTAAGCAAGGGTTTGTCTGACCAGAGTACGTACTAAGGGGGTGTATGTATCATCAGAGTACGTACTAAGCAAGGGTTTGTCTGACCAGAATACGTACTAAGGGGGTGTATGTATTATCAGAGTATGTACTAAGCAAGGGTTTGTCTGACCAGAGTACATACTGAGTGAATTTCACTCTAGAGTCCAAACCGCTTACTACATACAGGGCGTAAGACGTACAGTCCAAACCACTTGGTACGTACTGAGGGTGTAAGACGTACTGTCCAAACTACTTGGTACGTACTGAGGGTGTAAGACGTACTGTCCAAACTACTTGGTACGTACTGAGGGTGTAAGACCGTATACTGTAAAACATGTAATTTTAGGTGCATTAAAATTTCGGTGCCAGGGACCTGCCAGGTTTCAGGTGTCATGTAGAATTAGGTGACCAGCGTTCCCTGTACATACAGTGCATACCAGTACTCTAGTGCCGTTTAGGTGTAATTTAAATCTAGGTGCCTGGTTTCTCTACCGAAATCACCGAAATTAAAGTTTAATACACCGAAAATCGCATGTTTTACAGTAGTCAAAAACCACTTGGTACGTACAGGGTGTGACACGTACTATTGTATAGTGAATACTGTTCGCAGTTGACGAGGCATTGCCAGTGGCACACTTGATTGCAGCTAGGGTGTAGGGTGTACTTACTGGCAAGGCTCCTGGATAGGCTACCTGCCTCTGGGTCATCCCTCAAATAGAAAAAAATTTCCGTGATGCCTTTGTGGGTATGTATTATCAATTTATCATGTTTCGACAGTATCTCTAGAACAAAATTGTGCACAGTGATACTCACAGTTGACATGGCGTCACCAGACGTCCGCATGAAGCTGCTGCTGTTGCTGCTGCTACCAGCCGTGGCCGAGGCTGCTGCAGCGGCAGACGCAGACGCAGCAGCGGCGGCTGCAGCAGCATAGGGGAGAGACGGAGATGCCGAGGCAGACTTGGAGATACCAGTTGACATCTGCGACGAACTTTCGCCGGACTTTCGCTGGATAATACAAAGGAGAGAATTAAGGCCACGGTGTTAGTCTAGTTTGCACGACCACTGCACAAAACGCTGATCCAATTCAACATAGATGGCCTTACTCCAGCTGCAGTTGAAGTAGGCAGCGTACACCAATTTATTCCCGTCGGTGACCTAAATAAGACGAGCTTTGCTCCCATGTTCA